CCAACATTCACCCAGTGGATAACCCCGATCACCTACAGATGAGATGTTTTAATAACCATACAAAGTTCAGCAAAAACATTTTCACACTTTGTAACAGTCACCAATAAACCACCCATCTTCAACAGCTCCTGCTTGGAGATGCACCCACAGAGCTGTTCTGCTCAATGAATGAGTCGTGCGTTCCACCGGGCAACAACGTTTGATGGCAACAAATGTGCATTGCTAATTATTTGTACGTTGATTGAATGAAACCCTTTCCTATTTACATAATTAAATTTGCTTAGTGATGCTGCTGTGAATGCGATGTGGTTGCAGTCTGTGGCTCCACTTATGTTTGGGAATCCAGCGACAGCGTTAAGTCCCCATTTGATTTGGGCTCGTTGGTGATGGCTGAAAGGGAACTGGATGTAGGCTGGGGCCAGGGGAGTTACGGTTATGATCCTGCTCAGTCATGACTGGGAAACGATGCATATGTCTCCAACCTCACGCTGGAATGTGCCGGTGGTCAAAATCCAGAAATGTTTTCTATTTGTAGTTTCACTATTCTACCACTAGATTATGTGCGTACGCATGGTCAGAGGTGTGCGTATGTTCACGCACATTCCTAAGCATATGCACAAGTTGATAAATTCCATACTTTACATGGGAATGTTCATACGCACTCATTATGCACACATCTGTGCGTATACACTAATGATAAACGAGGCCCCAGAACTTTTGATAATAAGACTGATGAGACAAGAAGATTTGATTAATTTATTATTATTTAATCTGGAATATTTAACATTTATTTTAGAATTCATATTTGGCGGTGCCCCTGATTGTAAAGTGCAATTTTAATCATAAAGTGTAGTTTCGCTACATATTATAATTTTTGACGCTTCTGTGTGAGGCTAATTACACTACAGATATGAACAAGTTAGCATTTTATATCAGACGTTAAAGCCTCGCTTCAAACGTGATATTGGCACACTTTTGGTCACATCTAATTAACACCATCAAGTACCAACAGTTGCTCATCTGACCCTTTGGCCTCAGGGGCCAGTAATTAGCATCACAGCAACTTTCCACCATCCGCAATAGACATCATATTCATTGTTAAATGCATTTTGGCACAACTCTTCCACACATCTCCTCCACAAATATGGAGTACAGTGCTAAAGGGCCTTTACTTGTGTGACAAACACTATTCAGCTTTTCACATTGTGGCAGCGTCAACATTACTGACAACACAAATCCTTCATTCCCAGTGATCACAGTGCCATTTGTACAAGAACTGAAGGTTTGGGAATTCAAAAGAAACTCAGAGTCACTAAATCCAAATCACCAAAATCTTTGGTTTCCAATATCTCTGTGTCTCCAGTGTGCTCATTAGTGCACAACAAGAAACAGCACTCATTAAAATTCATTAAATAGCACTTCTGCACAATCCTGTAAATGTTGTGCGTGCACAAGTGTGCACCACTGACCATGGTCAAGCTGTTGGCATTGATAGAGTGATGAGTGTGCAGCAGTGTGGACCGAAAGAGAGGATGTAAACATAACATATATTGTTTATTCTAACTGTAATCAACCTTTAGTGTGATGCAGTAAATCCCCTTACCTCTAACCTCAGCAGCTTCCCACGGCCTTACAGGTGGACAGTTACAGGTAGGATGGAAGCACAGATGGAGAGAAGGAATACTCGTTCTGGGGAGAGAATAGAAAAACAACAAGAAAAGTCTAAATAGGGTTCAGAAGACTAATACGATGTCTCTGTTACACTGTGATCAAACATATAGGGGTCATGAGCCAGGGTGTTAAACTGACTGTTTAAGGACGAGGCCAGTGTGTCAGAAGTCCTCTGGCAGGAAGNTGCAATGACACAATACACTGAATAATTTTCAGTAAAAAATTGGAAAAAGTGTGGTGTTCTAAAACTTTTGACCAGTAGTGTATATCGATTATTAAGAATAAAGGTAACTGCCAGCTGATTCTGGGAAGTTATATCCATATGCAGTATAAACAAACAAATCAACAAACAAGCAAATACTTGTGTTCAACTTTTCAATTTTTTTTATGTTATGTCTTAACAAAAACATGTCCTTCAAAACACTGTTACAACTGGCAGAGGATTTCTTTTACAGTGTCATGCTTGACAGAGTATCTCCATCTATGACTGTTTTTGAGAATGTGGCAGAAAAGTTGCTTGCTTCTGGTACAAAGATGGAACAGTTAGCCAGACATACTGATATGTGGCGGACAAAGTAGCAGAATATTCCAAAGCAACACAAAGAAAATCCAGAGACTCTTTCCTACAGCTGTAAATCTGATAAGAAACCATTCAAGAAGACAGATAACCCAAATTCCCACCTAAATGGAACATCTGCACATCGGATGTGTAATACAAAATGACCACTCACGGCTCCCCTGGAGACAACAGGATGTCTGCTACCACCACCAGAACCTGATGAGGGTCATAAAGTGCAAATTCTGAGGAAAACCGCACCTCTGGCAAAGAGGAGCATGTATTTTTCATGGTGACCTCCTGACCTTTCTCTCCAACTAACACACAGAAATACCACAATTAACTGAACAGTTTAAATCCCACAATGACGACAATCAAACATCACCGGAGTGCTGATCCCAAACCTGGATTCAATTTGCAATACAATGTCATCAGGACCAGTATTGAAAAATAACACTGTTACATCTGAAGTGCTTGTGGAAGATCCCAGTGGGATGAACACAGCCATGGTTGTTCAGCTGCTGATTTTAATTTGGCTCCAAAAGTTTCTGTATAAAAGAAAGTCACTGGAATGCAACTTGGGCTTCTTTCAATAGGGCTTATTTTTACACAGGCTTTCAAACAATTTAAGTTGGGCTTGTTTTTTTTGTTTTTTTTTTCTGTTTTACTTAAAGTTGGGCTTCTTAAGTTACTTTTACAATGCGACAATTTTTTCATAGCTATGAAGTTTGACTCTTAATATATTTACTTAAGCACTTTTTCAAAGCAATGATGCCAGAGTGTCGTCCTGTCTCTGCGTTCCTGAACTAGCTTACCAAGCAGATCATAGTGTTGCAGCCTCCCTGTCCCTCCTACAAAGGCTACACAAGTATCATTTTCTTTCTGCTATGTGTGTGAATTTAGAAACTACAATTGGCTTCTCAGTTCTAAAGTGATTTTAAATTGATCACCGTTCGACCAACTGCTTCCAGTAATGATCACAGTAAATTAGTTTATTTGTATTCATTTATTCACTGTTTGTTGATTGTTACGTCATTGTTGTTTTTTTGTCTGTTTGTAGTATTAGGTAAAAAATGTCTGTGTGTAATTATCCTTGGTTCTACCGTGTATTCCTTTGCTGGGGAACTGGAGGTCATGAAATCACAGTTCAGGGGCCTCATTTATCATCAGTGCATAATAAAGGTTCTAGATTCAGTTTTACGAATGAAATTTAGAGTGTGCATCAATTCAAAAAAATCTGTATTTATTAAACAGGCGTACATGGATCGTACTCACATCAGTAAGTCATCAGTGTTGACGAATCTCAGTTGTTCTTAACCACAGTGCTTGTGGACTTTCGGGATCATTTGCCTTCAGAAATGCCTCTAATTAACCATATACGGTGACAATATGTCTCTTCATCAAACAAGTGGATATTTTTTCCCCTCACCTTTCATCATTGTGGCAAAAAGGGGCGACAACGAGGAACTTTTCGGAAACCAGAATTGAGGTATTTGTCAGTGAGGTTGAAGCTAACCAGAAATAGTTGTTTGGTGCGTGAAATGTTGGAATAAGCAGCAAGAAAAAAAGATTGTATGGAACAAGATAACCTGCGCAGTTATTTTGGGTAAGAGGAGAGAAAAA